GCTACTCGGCCAGGGCTCTAAGGCCACTTTAAAAACAGAGTTTATATACATTGAGACAGAAAGAAGCCTGTGTGATATTATTGAAGAGAACCACATTGTAGAACAGTGTGTACAGAACATGCAGAATATCTGGAATAATCACTCATGTGGAGGGGAAAGGTGTATGTGTACGCATGCACATAGGAAGAAGAATACATATCAAACCATGAGTGAGAGTGGCATTAAAGATTTTTTTTGTCTTTTTTTTTATTAATTAAGTCTTTATTGTTCAGATTATTACATTTGTTCCTCTTTTTCCCCCCCATAACTCCCCTCCACCCAGTTCCCACCCCACCCTCCGCCCTCACTTCCCACCCACTGTCCTCATTCATAGGTGCGTGATTTTTGTCCAGTCTCTTCCCGCATCCCCCTCACCCCTTTCCCCCCAAGAATAGTCAGTCCATTCCCTTTCTATGTCCCTGATTCTATGACAATCACCAGTTCATTCTGTTCATCAGATTATTTATTCACTTGATTTTTAGATTCACTTGTTGATAGATGTGTATTTGTTGTTCATAATTTATATCTTTACCTTTTTCTTCTTAAAGGATACCTTTCAGCATTTCATATAATACTGGTTTGGTGGTGATGAACTCCTTTAGCTTTTTCTTATCTGTGAAGCTCTTTATCTGACCTTCAATTCTGAATGATAGCTTTGCTGGATAAAGTAATCTTGGTTGTAGGTTCTTGGCATTCAGCACTTTGAATATTTCTTGCCACTCCCTTCTGGCCTGCAAAGTTTCTGTTGAGAAATCAGCTGACAGTCGTATGGGTACTCCCTTGTAGGTAACTGACTTTCTTTCTCTTGATGCTTTTAAGATTCTCTCTTTGTCTTTTGCTCTTGGCATTTTAATTATGATGTGTCTTGGTGTGGTCCTCTTTGGATTCATTTTGTTTGGGGTTCTCTGCACTTCCTGGACTTGTAAGTCTATTTCTTTCACCAGGTAGGGGAAGTTTTCTGTCATTATTTCTTCAAATAGGTTTTCAATATCTTGCTCTCTCTCTTCTTCTGGCACCCCTATAATTCGGATGTTGGTACGCTTGAAGCTGTCCCAGAGGCTCCTTACACTATCTTCGTATTTTTGGATTCTTTTTTCATTTTGCTTTTCCGGTTGGGTGTTTTTTTGCTTCTTCGTATTTCAAATCGTTGACTTGATTCTTGCTATCCTCTAGTCTGCTGTTGGGAGTCTGTATAATATCCTCCATTTCAGTCAGTGTATGCTTAATTTCCAGTTGGTCCTTTATCATAACCTCAAGGGTCTGATTAGATTTCTTGAGGATCTCACTACATTTATCGGCGGTCTCACCAGTCTTTTCGAGGGTCTTACTAAATTTATTGGCGGCTTCTAGAAAGTTCTTGAAAAACCTTAAAAGTGTGGTTTTGAACTCTATATCCAGCAGTTTGCTTTCCTCCATTTCTGTCATGTGTGTCTTGTTTCTTTGTCTCCGCATTTTTTATGCTTCCCTGTGTTGATAAAGTGGTTTCCTGTGCTAAGTGTCCTCTAGGGCCCAGTGGTTCAGCCTCCCCAATTACCTGAGGAGGACACTCTTGGTGCACCCCCTTGTGGTCTTTGTGCACAGTCTTGTTGTAGTTAAGCCTTAATTGTTGTAGGTAATACTGGGAGGGATTAACCTCCAGGCCAATTGGCTGTGAGAATCAGCTGTGTCTGCAGTGGGAGAACTTCTGTCCTGGATCTCTAGGGAGGTGCTAATCTAGCCTCTGCCTGAGGCTATCCAGCAAAAGCCTCCATGCAAGGCTTGGGCAGGGCGGGTTCCAGGGGATCAACAGGGCAGGTGGAGAGAGCAGTTATGGCTGCTCTCAGTCCTGCCTTCAGAGGCCCCGCTTCTCAGTGTTCCAGCAATTGCTGCAAGTACCTCCGAGAGAAAGCTGCCCTCGAGTTCCAACTGATGCCAGACAGTCCCGCTTCTCCCATATGAGCCTGAGACTCCCTCCCGATTGAAAAAGACAACCGCGCCCTCAGCCGCCAGCCCGCTCCTCATGCGCCTCTGTACCTTAGTATTTTACTTCCGCACCGCACCTCCTCTGAGTCTCAGTATGCTTTTCTCTTTCCTTCTAGTTGTAGAATTTCCACTCAGCCAGCCTTCCTGTGGTTCTGGGTGATGTCCGTTCCGTCTTTTAGTTGTATTTTTGAAGTGGTTGTGCAAGGCAGCAAACTCCAGTGTTTACCTATGCCACCATCTTGGTTTCCGGCATTAAAGATTTTTGTTGTTTTCATGATCAATTTCATATTGCTTATACTTTTATTGGTGTGTTTTACTTTTGTTGTTATTGTTGTTAATCCTTACCAGAGGATATTTTTCCATTGATTTTTAGAGAGAGTGGGAGAGAGGGAGAGGAAGAGAGAGAGAGAGAGAGAGAGAGAGAGAGAGAGAGAGAGAGAAGCATTGATGTGAGAGAAATACATTGGTTGGTTGCCTCCCACACATGCCCCGACCAGGGTCAAGGATTGAACCTGCAACCCAGGCACGTACCTTTGACCGGGAATTGAACCCGAGACCCTAAAGTGTTTGGGCCAACACTCTAACTTCTGAGCACACTGCCCAGGGTGAGTGTGTTTTACTTTTATAATCAGAAAAAAAGAATATAGTGTACAAAACTTTGAAATGAAGTAGCCTCAGTAAAGCATGCAGAAAACAAAACAAGCCCACACTGATCACCCAGGCCAATTTAGAGCAGGCCAAAAAGTCTCAAACAGGATGAAGAGGGGTTGGTGGATGGTGAGTTCATTGCAGGGGAGAGCCTGTGTATACAGCAGCATCAAAAGACAAACCAACAACAGAGCCCAGAGTTCTGCGGGCACAGAGACCAGATGGAAAACAGGGTCCCTGGAAGGGAGCTAAGAGGAGCATCCAAGGGCCCTAACCCAACAGGAAGGGAGAAGCAGGAAGGGATTCCATATGCAGATGAATGGATTTATAGCAGCAACACCGTGCTTGATCTGAAGCCAAAGGCTGCTGCTTTCCATCCTTAGTGAGCTGCTGAGCGCTGGTGGGAACACAGAGGAGGCCGGGAGAGGCAAGGCTCTGTGGGTGGTGGTAGCTGTTGGTGTTGGCAAAAAAGCCTAGGATTGCTTCCCAACTGGACTTCATTTTATTATTCTAAGTCGCAGGTAAATTAGACATGTTTGAATGTGTCTTACGGAATCTTCCGGAGCATAATAGCTTTGTTGTGGCTTCCTTAAAGATTGCCTCTATTTCCAGGAACTTGTCAAAGCTTTATTTACCCACTCACCTTCCCCATTTTTATTGAGTAGTCTGTGCAGGTTTCCAAGCTAAGTGTGGAGATGAATATTAAAGGTAATTCGGGCAGAACTTCTTAGCCCAAGGAACTCACAGCCTCATAGTAAAATAAACAAGAATGAGACAATCACACATTCGAGTTACAGTGTGATAGCTTAGAAGAGTAGAAAAGGTCAGGGTTTGACTATATTTGTGTTCTGACTCTGTGACCTAAGGTAACTACTGCAGTTAGTTTTCGCATTGGTATCATGTCTAGTATAACTACTGTGCCTGACACATGGTAGGTACTCAAAGTATTGCTATTATTATCCAAGTCCCATAAAAGAATATAAGTAAATCAAAGGTCATTTCCTTGAATGGAAAAATAGGATAGCCCAGCTCGTGTGACTCTGTGGTTGAACATTGACCCATGAACCAGGAGGTCACGGTTCTATTCCTAGGCAGGGCACATGCCTGAGTTGTGGGCTCACTCCCAGTAGAGGATGTGCAGGAGGCAGCTGATTGGTGATTCTCTCTGATCATTGATGTTTCTATCTCTCTCTCTCTACCTCTCCCTTCCTCTCTCTGAAATCAATAAAAACATATTTTTAAAAGAAAGAAAAATTAGATAATATCTCACAGAATTATTTTGAAAGTTATCAATAATCGTTTCCTCCAAATTACTTAAACCTACAAAGATTAATCATTGTTAAACTCTGCTAGTACTTGAAGCAAAAACAGAAACCATTGCTGTTTATTCTTTTAAAAAATGTAACATGAGTGCTTTTTCTGGATGCACAGGAGTGGGTAGTAAATTTCTCCCCCAAGATGCTCAGTGGGCTTCTTTTATTGCCTTATGCACCTATAAATAGGAGTCTTGAGAATTTGGGGCCTTGGAACATTTCTGGTCTACAAAGTTACTTTCTTGTGTTTCCTGTGAAATCTTGCTCTAGCATGTTTTGAAAAGTTCATGGGAAGTATATCAAATTTATGTCCAGATATGCTCCAAATAGGGATGGAGGTTCTGCTCCATTGTAAGAGTCTCAGAGCAGGGGTCTAGACCAGCCGTGGGCAAACTACGGCCCGCGGGCCGGATCCGGCCCATTTGAAATGAATAAAACTAAAAAAAAAAAGACCGTACCCTTTTATGTAATGATGTTTACTTTGAATTTATATTAGTTCACACAAACACTCCATCCATGCTTTTGTTCCAGCCCTCCGGTCCAGTTTAAGAACCCACTGTGGCCCTCGAGTCAAAAAGTTTGCCCACCTCTGGTCTAGACTGTGGTATCATCAAGAGACTAAGACCCTGCACACTCAGGATACACCAGGAAATGTGGCCCAAGGAAAACAAGATTATGTGGACCTGATAATAGCCTTTTACCCCATCAGAAAGGCCTGTGGTCTTCAACCTATATGACCAAGGATGAGCTGGTACAGCCTATCCCCTCTGGGCCACTACTGACAAAGGACAGCTCTAGCCCTGCATCTGTCCCCACCCTCAGCTTGATCTTAGCAATGTATCTGGTTGTTCAGTCAGTGAATCCTCAGACTTCCCTGAGTGTCATTTATGTGGTCAGGACGGTGTTAAGCGCTGTGATTTGTATAAAATAGGCAGTTCCATCAGGTTGACTCTGACAGGAGACAGCTGGTTGTTGAACTGCCTCAACGGTAAAGGTCTTGCTCCTTCAATGAAGCCTGGCTCTGTGCTTCCTTTCCAGAGATTCCCACAGCCAACAAAGATTCTGGCCAAGAGTCCGAGTCCATTCCGGAATATACGGCAGAAGAGGAGCGGGAGGACAACCGGCTGTGGAGGACAGTGGTGATTGGAGAACAAGAGCAGCGGATTGACATGAAGGTCATCGAGCCCTACAGGAGAGTCATTTCTCACGGAGGTAGTCCAGCTCTTTGTGGATCTTGGAACGGGGGAGCAGGCAGCCTTATATTTTTATTAGAAAATGAAACTAGGGTTCTCTGCAGCATGGCACCCCACAGACCCTATTGGGCAGTCAATGTTTAGGGGACTGTAGAGCTAAATATATCACTTCACACCCAATTCTATAAACATTGCAAAGCCGACTATGCAAAAATAATTTTCCAATGTGAAAAATGCTTTTCATATCACAGATCTGATAGTTGTCATCTTCTATGCAATTTTTTTGAAAGCCAGAGTTGTCCAGTTTAATAATGTCTGTTCAGAATTCATTTGGGTTGGTTGTAGGGTTTAATTGAATTGTTTTTGAGTCCATACTACCGTAGCCTGCAATAAGATCGCTATAGTAGAGCTGCTTCTAATCACAAAATAGTATTTTGAATCCTCTTCAGAAGCTTTAGGAAATCTTTTTAGACTCAGCCTTGTCATTGTTTTCCCCTCCCTGAAACTGGCTTTTCTCTAAACTCCATTACACCTGTGCCTGACAACAGCCAGTTCCAGCCAAAACCTCCACGTGCCTAGTGAGGGGTAAGGGAGGACAGTGGTGATTGGAGAACAAGTGGTGTTTTGTATTTCTAGTGCTTTCTTGGAGCTTCAGAGCCTGGACTAATCCGGGATTCACAACAAGTCAGATGAGCAACACATTTAACATGGTCAACTTCAGAAAGCATCGACGGCTTTTTTATTTTTCTGCTGCATGCACTCCTTCCCTGCAGTCCCGAGGCACCCCCCTAACCACTCGGCTGTTCCGGAACAGTGTAAGCTGACGAGGCAAACATTCTTCCCTCTTCCTCATCAAGGACAGGGAAACAAGCATCTTGGGACAACATTAAACTCCTAGCTTTTGTTTTCTAACTGGCAGAAGGACATTTTGTATTTTTCAATCAAATTTCCCTCCACCAGCAAATTTTCCACTTTCCAGCCCATGCATTGCTCCCTGCAGGTAAGTATCTGACCACCCGGGACTCCAACCATGACAGTGAAGGAAAATGCCAATAGGTGTCCTCAGCCATGACCTTCCTTTTCCCTGCTTCATAGTGTGGCCTGAAATGGCAATATGTCCCCAGGATAGTGCCGTGGGCTAGGGCCATTTCCTCTGAGAGAAACTTTCCCATAGCCCTTCAGAATAGAGCTGGCTTGACCTCCCGGAGATGACAGACAAGTGGTCATAGAGCCAACCCTTTGGTATGATGAAAACCTTAACGTCACCCAGATCTTCCCAGAAGGCCATGCCTCCTTTGTACCACCCATCGGGCACAAAGGAGGTATGATTTGTTTGGAAATAAAAAACAAATCAGAGGCTAAATATAAAAGTAGCCTGTGTTCATTCTTAAAAAAGGACAAAAAAGTGTAGAACAGTGATAATATTTATACATTTCTACCCCTTGGTCTTAAATGGAGAGCCGTTGGTTGTAAAGAAGGCAGGCTCACTGCTCCGCTGCTCTCCTAACACCTCTTGTCCCTCCAGTACACCCCCCTGCCTGTTCTTTCCACCACAGTAAAAGTATGTGGGTTGTGTGAGTGGGTCTGCTGCCTGAATTAGGAGAGAGTGGTTGTCATCAACACAGTAGGGACAGAAAAAGCCCTGCTTCTGCCTGTCACGTCCTCTGGGATATAACTGAGCTGACCCCTCAGGGATGACCTGGTTTGCTGTGCCCTCCATCCCTGCCACCTGCTCCCATTGGCATTAGCTCCTCTTCGTCCTGTTGCTGAGTTCGGTTTTTGTCTGTGTGACTGTCCAGTTTGGAAGACAAGGCCACCTTTCCTACCCCCAGCTCCACCTCGTCTTTCTCTGGGCGCTGGCCTGCATGAGTGTGCCTCTGGCTGCACCCATCTAGCACGTTAGCGCGATGCCGCCTCTTCCTATGCCCTGAACAGCTTTTGTGCTCCGTAGGCAAAGATCGTTCAGATGTTGCTTCTGAATTTGTCAGAGCTTTGTCTTCTGTGTTGGAAGCTCACACCACTTTCTTAGACCTTAGCGATGAGAAGGCAGCCTTCCTTGGTTACCAGTCTGTGGAGTTGGCCATCCTGGCTTCTGATGAGCATTTAAAAAGCAGCACCCACCGTGGATGGGGATCTTGTGTTGGTGTCTTGCATTTTGCTATAAGGATGTTTTCCCATTCAGGCCAACAGAGAAGTGCCAGCTGTTGTGCTCTATGCAATTGCAAGATGAGAGTTGGGGGTGGTTAAAAGAGCTGCATAAATTACCCAGAAAACAAGGCCTTACCAAGTGTCCATACCAGTTGGGAATATCAGCGTGGGAGAGCAGTCTTTGAACAAATAATCCGGTCCTCTGCTTTAGTGACCTCGACGTGAGCTATTGTCAGAGGCCCTGCACACATTTACAATAATGGGGTTCAAGACCCAATTTTTCCAGGAATTAATTTGTGATCTTGATAATTAATCACATAACTTCTCTGGGCTTCAATCACTTCATCAGTCATAAGAGGGTGACCAATATTCCTGCCATCTGCTTAAATAAAAAAGCAAAGAGAGGGCTGGGTGGTTTGAATCCGCCAGCAGCATGGGGTCACTCTGAGGCCAGAACTGGCTTTTTTGAACTTAAAGCAGAGAATATATTTAAATGACCAAGGGCAGTTGTGCCATAGCATTGTAACAAGGAGTTTCCTTTCTTGTTTTTGTTTTTGTTTTGTTTTGTTTCATTATAGGAGATTCAGGTAACCTTCTCTGCCGTGTTGCTGGACAAATGATCCTGGAAAGAATGAGAAGAGTTACTGGCTGGTGTGTGTGTGTGTGTGTGTGTGTGATGTTTTGGTTGTGACTGTGGCATCTTTCCTTCTGTCTCCATTCCATTTGCGGGCCAGCAAACTTGTGTTACGTCCCTTTCATGCCTGTCTGTCCTGCCTCAGGTAAGGTTTGCATCACTGCTTCAGAGGGTCTCAGGAGGCACCATGGTGGGATTGCTCACGCACCTCAGCACACATGCCCTGGATCCACCTTATGGTCATTGAGAAGAGAGGCTAATAAAATACACATTTTTAAAACCCAAATTTCAAATGCATCATGCAGTTGCTGACGGGCAACTTCACACGAGGAAGCTGCATATTTAGAATAGAAGTCGGGTTAGCCAGTCCCCTTGAGGAAATCTGTGAGGGACAAGAGGGAATGGTCCACTCATTCTGGTCATTGCACTTTGTCAGCCGTTGCTATTTACAGTGTCTTCAAAGCCTGTCAACAATGGCACCAGCTCTTGACTTAGATGGAGAACTCTCCTGAGGAGCTCTTCTCCTTCCATTTCCTTTCATACATCTCCTCCTCGCCTCCTGTTTCCTTCCTCTCTCTTTTCTTCCCTTCCAACTGTTCAGGTGCCCCAAAGTACAAAAAGCCGTCTTCGTAAATTTTAGTAATTTTTATGTAGAGCCATTCCTGACTTAGACAATGGTCAGAAGGTGGTAAGTTGGTCCTTAAGCATTTGTTTGGTTACATGAACTCCAGTGAACATGACAGCATTCCAAGGACAGACAGCATGGACACAGAGCTGAACTGCCATTTAAGACGACCTCTGAAATACTGTTCATAAACCCCAGGCTTTCATTTTTTGAGAAACTCTTAGAAATTCTTCAGAAATAGAAAAAGAAATCAAAGCAACTGAACAGTCGTGATCTTGACGTTATTCTGACAGCCAAACAGCTACATTTAGAAGGATGCTTTCCAAAGGATGCTTTTGCACCTGCTTTTAAGCTGGATTCATATGTCTGTTGTCTCTTCTGATGAAGCCACCTTTTTCATTGTGCTGAGTCCGCATTGCATACCTTCATGGGGTAGGATTAGTGTAGCTAAGTCAACTTATCCTTTATGAATTTCCATTTAAGCTTCTTAAAAGAAAATTGTTCCGAGGAACAAATACTTCTTGTATTGAAATATATCTCCCTCATTTTCCTTCATATCACATTCTAAAAGTGTGTTGGCAAATATTGACATATTGGAAAAGATGGAACTAAGGCAAAGAGTCCAGAGGGAAGCTACTGCAATCCTGTTTCACAAACATGTGTTGCATCAGATATAGACTTACATAGGTAGCATCTTCTGTAAACACTGTATACAACCTCAAATTAGTAATACACATGAACCCATAATTTGATATATTTTTAGATGGTATCACTCTCTTCTCCACCTCTTTTGTGGTAGAATCCCACTCTCTCTTTGTAGAGAACATCTTATTAAACTGCTTTTCAAAAGTTAAGCCCCATCCAAATCTATATCCAGCCAGTATTTTACTGCCTTGTCATCACCAGAGGGGTATTTAGAGTTCAGAAGGAATGAGACACACTGAGTTCTGAGAGGACTGGATCAGGCGTGAGCGTGTGTCCTGTCCTCCCCCTCAGAGCTTTGAGGAAATCTCTGTAATGATTCTGAAGCTCAGAACTATGTGATACGACAAAAATTGCAAGTGTTTAAAAGGGGCTATAAAAACATGACCCTACAGTGCATTGCTTCCATGTTGAAGTCTGGAAGACACGTGAGATCCCATACACAAACCCATGGGAAACTGATCAACCGCTGCCATGAATTTCAAAGATGAGCTCTAAGGGAACCCAGAGCTTGATTAAAGGATGGAGCCGAGCTTTCCAAAATGGGTAAAATGTCCTGAGATATCTCTGCATTTTCCTTGGCCCTCGGAGTTTCAATAACACACTTGTCTGCATCTCCTGTCTCCTATTTTCTCACCACCATCTGCAAATAGAACTCCACCCTCCACCCATGTTGCCAAGAAGTAATTCTCCAGTTTTTTCCAAAGCATCTGTTTTCCTAAAACTCCAGACCAACCCTTCTTGAGTTTGCCCTTTCTCTAAGAGACGAGGCTCTGACTTCTGTGCCCAGTTATCTCTACCTGAGAGTGTTTCCCTCACCGTCTATCGCACCTGGAGATCACAGGGAACCAGTCCTCCAAATCAAAGCCAAGGCGGTTACTTGTCTACTCACAAGCATCTGGTCGCTCAAGTCTGTGAGTCGGAGATTGTAGTGGAATTTGGTGACTAAGTTTTCCCTTCAAGTTAAAATTTAAAAGAGCTGAAAATGTGAATTACTCTGGACCATTTTTTTTATTAGCCATGAAAGGAAAAGAAGTATTATATAAATTATGTTCTTAAAATATATAAATTAGAAACCCATAAATCAGAAGGTGTTGCTCCTATCCTTTGATAAATTGAGTATTTATACACCCGGGCATGACTATGTACAACACATATAATCGTTCACAATATATGGATACCCGATATATGCAAATATATTCACACACTATATTTAAGACTCTAGATAACATATATGTTAACCACTGGGAGATAATTATATGTGTATATACTTATAAAAGTATAGTCTGTATAATACTCAATTAAAGATATATCTGTTACAACCACAGCCACACACTTGCCAAGGCTTCCAGATTTATTCTTTAGGTTAAATATTATCTTGTTAAAGCTTTCAATTGGTTACAAATGTCTTTTTGTTTGTCTCCCAGGATACTATGGGGATGGCCTAAATGCCATCATTGTGTTTGCCGCCTGTTTTCTGCCAGACAGCAGTCGGGCGGATTACCACTATGTCATGGAAAATCTTTTCCTGTGAGTGATACTTACAACAAAGTGCTTTGAGTTAATGTCTGTGGGCATGTATGGCAGATCAGCATCTTTAATAAAAGGAAATAAGTGATGTAGACTGTGCTAAGCCTTTGAGAAAAAGCCAATGAAATCTCTGTCTAGGAACATTGCTCAAGAGACTAAAACCTTTAAAGTCACTCTTGCCAGTAGAATGGATTGAAAACTAAACAAACACAGCTTGGCCTGCATTTTAAAATGCTGTAACATTTCCTCTGGGTGAAGTGTTAATATTTGTTCCCCGATAACATGTTCTTAGTCAACAGATGAGAACCTGGCTTCATTTAGATCTGCCCTTATTTAATCTGGGTTGTCCTTAGTATATGATAACATTTTTGACATTTTTGAAAGTTAGGTTTCTTACCCACACATATTTTTAGTGTACCTGCATTAAAAAAAAAAAAGAAAGATAACTGTATATTTAAATGAACAGTACTCACTCTCAGAAATGATCTTAGGTAACTGCATTCTTCTCCAGGTGAAGAGGTAATATGCACAACCATTCTCAAATGTTATACACCCTGTCATTTAAATGTTATCTAATTATGGTGTAGATAAAATGAAGCATTTCATGTGGGAACTGAAAACACTCCTCTTCCTTCCTGTGATCAGATATGTAATAAGTACTTTAGAGTTGATGGTAGCTGAAGATTATATGATTGTGTACTTGAATGGTGCAACCCCAAGACGGAAGATGCCAGGGCTGGGCTGGATGAAGAAATGCTACCAGATGATTGACAGACGGTAGGTGGGCTCCATTATTTAATCCCTAGTTTTACTTTCTCAATAATTCCTATTTCTGACTCCCTTTTAGTCTACCAAAATGCAGTTATATTTTAGGAACATTGAATTATGCAGAGTTGAGATAATAAATGATAACATATTAATCAAAGTGTCACTTGGTGCCCCAAGCAAATCCTCCCCCAATTTTGTTAAATGTTGTAGTGTCAGATCTAATGACCAAACTGTGCTTTAAATTCTGCATGTTATTGCCACATTGAGGCGCAATTTGAGCTGCTAAACCAGCATCTACAATTCTCTACTCGTGCCATGTGATCTTGATGCTATTAATGTGCATTGGGTCTATTATGATTTTGGAAAATGTTGAGCTCTTATTTCAGAATTCACTGTTAATTCATGTTAACCACTAGCCCATAAGGTGCCTTTGGGTGCCCCTTCTTCAAGATACTTTACTTTCATTCGTACTGGTTTTAATAGAACAAAACATATTATTGCCATGTATAGGGAAACTGTCATAATAAACATACCAGTTTATGATATCTATGATGGGTGTGGTGTCCACTTAGATGTAGCTCCTTACATAACAGCACATGCGTGCCCTGTTACAGTAACTAAAATTCGTTTAATGATCCAAACATTCATAAAGTAGCATTACTAACGCTGAAAAATGTGCCTGAAAATCAAGAACATTAAAATGGTAACCTGCAGGCCAAACAACCACTTGATATATGGTTTCTGTTTTCACTATATGTAAGCGGACACCAAGGCTCAGAGATCAAATAAATTAAGTTGCTTGTAAAAGTATACTTTTCAAAATAGTAAGGATAATGCTGACAAAAATGAAAAGCATTGTTAAGCAAAAATATGCCATGATGGTTATAGATTTATGGACTCTGTGAATACAACCACTTTAGTTTACATTTATTCTAAGAAAATAAGGCTTGAATCATAAAAGTTTCAAATTACATATCAAAAGGCATTTTTTATGAATTATGACTATTCTATACTTTCCCTATTGGTAATAGCAACTTGCCTAGAACTCTGTGTATATATTCTTATTTGGGAACATGCTTTCTTTTTTAATTCCCACTAAAAATGGGTTATGAATAATTGTTTTTCCTTTTTCAAACTAGGTTGCGGAAGAATTTGAAATCATTCATCATTGTTCATCCATCTTGGTTCATCAGAACACTCCTTGCAGTGACACGACCTTTTATAAGGTTTGATTATTATTATAGTAAAAGTAAAAGCATTATTAGTAGATTTTTTAAAATGTATTAATTGACCTATAAACAAGAATTCATAAACTAAGAGGGTATTTAGGAAGATATTTGCCTCTGCCTTTCCTGGAAAGATACATTAGACTATCCAGTGAGAGACACTAATTAAGAGTGAGCATTATTTCATAATGATTGTTTCACCACCAATTATTATAAAGCATGATCTCTATGTGGGTTGCTGTAAATATAAAAGATGACAGGGTGGGCTTCCATGTCACCTTACACAAAGGAATAGACAATACTTTTAAAGTGATATATGGTAAAGAGAATAGAAAAGACAGAGTAACATGACAATAGAAAATAAAGACAAAAACCAAGGACAGAAGCAGGAGCCATGTCTTATCTTTTTTTTTTTAAAATATATTTTATTGATTTTTTACAGAGAAGAAGGGAGAGGGACAGAGAGTTAGAAACATCGATGAGAGAGAAACATCGATCAGCTGCCTCCTGCACACTCCCCACTGGGTATGTGCCCGCAACCAAGGTACATGCCCTTGACCGGAATCGAACCTGGGACCCCTGAGTCCACAGGCCGACGCTCTATCCACTGAGCCAAACCGATCAGGGCCATGTCTTATCTTAATTGTTCTATTTTTGTTGAACAAATATCATGTGGGTCACCAAAGTTAGATAAAGAGTCTGGGTAGCCTTGTTGACAGCTGTTTTAAATCTCCCATGAGGATTCTCAGTTTCCTTTTGGTTCAATTCAGTGAATATTTATTCATCATTTATGTTGTCCCACATGCTCTAAACCCTTACATTTTGGGAATGCACAGAAAATTAAGATAGATGTCATAACATAGAAAGACTTGGAACAGTTAAATGAAAGGGATAGTATGCATTTTCTAGAGAACTTAAAAAATATAATAAAAAAGTATTGCCTAACATCAGGATACAGATTAGATAAACTGACATTTTTCTACCTCAGAGTTATTGATGAATCCCTAAGCAAAATTCTGCTAACCTTACTTCTGGAGAAAAAAAAATTGAGGTTAAAATCCCCTCCCCCTTTTTTAAACATAAATTTTACTGTGCCTTTCAAATTCTACCTTTTTTGCTCAGTGTTCACTTATAATTATTTAACATTCCCATTTTTTACTTACAACAATTGAGTGGCATGATTCAATCTAATTTTCCTCTGACAAGGTTAGCTCTTCACATGTCAAATTGCCTTAAAAATAACATGAAATATTTAAAGTATACAAAGAAACATTTATTTTAATAATAGCAGAAAATACTTTGATGAGTAGGAATTCATGTACAGTGAATAGCTTATAAAAAGTTTAATGTGTAAAAAGTAAACATTAGAACTGATATGGATTTGATGATTTTTTAAATAATTCAGTCTTTACAAAACAAATGTTTCTTGTTGATAAATCACAAAATGTTTATTACTATAAAAATATTGAAAATTGTTAAAATTCAACATTATTGATTGAAGGGAGTTTCAATACAGTAATAATTACAACAACAATAATAGCAAATAGTGTTGTGGTAAATTACATATAATAATGGCTTACATTTATTGATGCTTACGTGCATTATTTCATTTCATCCTCATGACAGTCTTCTGAAGGAAGTGCTATTTACTATTTTCATGATACAGGAAAAAACCCTGAGAATCAGTGAGGTCAAATGAATTGTCTAAAGCAGGAGCCAGCAAACCCACTGTGTAAGGGATCAGATAGTAAATATTATAGGTTTTGTGGGCCGTATCGTCTCAGTCACAAGTACCCAAATCCACCATTGTGGGGCAGAAGCAGCCACAGACAATAGATAAACAATAAGGACGGCTGTGTTTCAGTAAAACTTGATTTATGAATACTGAAATTGAATTTTCTAAATATTTTACATCACAAAATATTCTTGTTTTTGATATTTTTTTCTACCATTTAAAAAATATAAAACCCATTCTTAGCTCAAGAACTGTAAAAAGCAGTTAACAAGTTGGCTGTGGCCTGTGGGCTGCAGTTTGTCAACCCCAGGTCGAAAGTAACATGTAAGTGAAACTCAGGCTTTGAACCCAATCATCTGCCTAATTCTGAAGACCACACATTTGTACGGACACATTGTATTTACAGTTCCATCATGTAAGACCCTCTTTTAATATCCCCCTTCTGAATCAGTTCACATCAGTGTAACCAACTTTTACACCCAAAAGAAGAGGCCACTTAAATGTATTTTGGGTCTATTTTATAGGTTGTTGGTAGTGTGTGTTCACCCAAGTCTTAGCAGGGCTAGAAGTGACTGTATGGAGAGGAAGGTTGCTCACAAGGCATAGCCAGTGACCCAGGGTCAAAACTGCAAGTAAAATGCTAAAAGGTAACTACTATGAGAGAGGTATATGACACATTCCTTTTTAAAAATGAATAGTCTGTTGTGCCAAGCACTGGGCTAGGTGCTGGAGACTGATGAATTAAATAGCTCAGTTGCTGTCCTTAAAGAGGGCAAAGCAGACAAAGGCATACAATAAATAATTATAAAGCAGAGTACAATTAAAGCACAATGAGGGGTGATGACTCAAGGTGAGGGGGAGGAGTTCTGGGATCAAAGATGGAGAAGGCTGAGAGTTGCATTGAGAGAGGAGCTTTCCAGAAGAATGAGCCTTCAAGGTGAGTTTTTTAAAGAATACTTTCTTCTTGATTTCAGAGAGAAAGGGAGAGGGAGAGAGAGAGAAACATCAATGATGAGAGAAAACCATTGATCGGCTGGCTGCTTCCTGCTCACCCCACACTGGGGATCCAGCCCGCAACCCGGGCATGTGTCCTGACCGGGGATCAAAATATGATCTCCTGGTTCATAAGTTGACACCCAACCACTGAGCCACACTGGCTGGGCAAGGTGAATTTTGACAAACTAATAGGATTGGCTCACTAAAACCTGGTAGAGGAAATAGCAGGTACAAATATACCAAGAAGGAGAGGAGGTGGCATGTTTAGAGAACTGTACATTCCAGCGAACGTAACACCGGAGATGGAGGTTTCCCCTTGCGTGCCTACTTCCTCCCACTCACTCCATTCACTGTCTTTTATCAAAACCTGAGTCTGGCACAATAATCTGGAGGAAGGAAGAGGTCCAGTGTAGCATATCATTGGTAGTGTGCGTTCACCCAAGACTCATCAGGAGGGCTAGAAGTGACGGTACGGGGAGGAAGTTGCTCACCAGGCACAGCCAGTGACCCGGGGTCAAAACTGCAAGTAAAATGGAAAGATAGATCTATAGAGACATGACCTTGAGAAGCTTCCTGCTAGAATGCACAGTAGTTGAAACAGAAGGAAGTACAGTTGGCCGACAGCTCAGCACAATCCCAATAGACTGGGGAGGACCTTTTCATTTGAAACCATCTGAGAAAATTCAATGCTTGATCAAGTTCCCTTTCAAGTGGAATAATAATGCATTTTTAAAATTAGTTTGCAATTACACCAGTAATGGAGACATGCATTCTTATAAAACATCTAATCATTTAGATGGAAGTGGTTTGTAATTGAAACCCAATCATTGGAACCGGTTTTTAACTTTGGTTCATCTGGAATGAACTCTCAGACTAAAACTTTACAGAAAAATTTTAAAAATATTTAAAATGTAACTAAAACTAAAAAAAGAAAGAAAGAAGAATAAAATGACAAGATTTTTGTTTGTTAAAAACAAATAAACAAACAAGCAAACCATAACCAGTGACAGTGCAGAGTGGCAGGAACCACAGGAGGTCATGTGATGTGTGGTCCAGAGTATAAATCCAGGCTTTGCCACTTACTGGTGGTGAGTACTTAACTCCCTGTGTCTTGGTTACCTTATCTTTAAAAAGAGAATAATAGGAGTGCCTACTGCACTAGCCTGTACTAAGAAATAAATGAGATAATTTATATAAACCACTTAGTCTCTGGCACGTAGTAACTACTCAGATAATGTATCCTTTCTGCTCAAGAGAGTGCTGGGACAAGGTATTAAGTATATCGGGATTTTCAAGAAGAGGCAGTGACCTTAGGAGGGATGAAGGAGCAACTAATCATAGATTCTTCTTTCCTTCCTTTTTTTTAGTTCAAAATTCAGCAGTAAAATTAAATATGTCAACAGCTTATCAGAGCTCAGTGGGCTGATCCCAATGGATTGCATCCAGATTCCAGAGAGCATCATCAAGTAAGTCCTGATGGTTCTGAAGATTTGGTAAGAAATATTGCATGTTTGGAAAAGGAGATTGGAAAACAACTCATTTCTTTGGAAAACAACTCATTTCTTCAGTAGTGGGGAAATGGCATTATCTTATGGTTAAAAGAAATTTTAAATATTCTCTATATATATATATCTATCTTAGAACTCAAGATTAGTGTTCTGTTCTTTTAGATCCTTTTTCACATAATCTTTCTTTGGAAGTATTGACTAGTGCTCATTTTCACTCTGAATTTTACTATCATTTTGGAGAAAGCATAAATTTAACACAATCAGCACATCTGTTACTTGTGTCTCCCACTCCACACAGACACAATCGGGTGTGAGCATAGCACGGATTTCTTTATCGCCTTGTATAAAGTTATTTGTCTGCATGACCCTAGGGAAAGAGGGGGGAGGGGAAGTAACCTTTCTCTGTTTTCTTCTGAATCCTTTTCCTTCATGGTTCCCTTCAGGTGAAAAATGAGGCTGAGTGGTGAGTGGCGGTTAGGGACAGTTCCTCACTCAGCACGGGGTAATGAAGGCACCAGCGCTGATGCTGAAGGCCACAGGATTGTGCTACAAAAATAGGAGTATAAGTTAACTAAACAACCACTTGGAGCTAGAACTTAAAAACACAGATACCGGAGAGTGAATACTCCTCTTGTTTCGTGGTTGCAAAGAACCAGTGCTTTCTGTGGGTCGTGTTTTGTTTCACTGTGTCTAATTCCCTCGTTTTTTATTTGAATCGAATTGAGAGGAAGGTAACCATCAGCTCAAAGAAAATAGACAAGGATACCCCATCTTTCTTCAGAAGATGGATAAGAAAATGGACCTTCCAATCTGGGCACCCCCATAAAAATAAATAGTCCTCATTAAAAAAAAAAGGCATAGAAACTGAAAGGGAAGGATTCTCATTTAGCGTGTTTCTATGCCAACTGCGCTCTATATCATTCACAGATATGGGAAGACACGTCAGTAAAGAGAAGTTGCTCATGGAAAGAATAAGTAGGAACAAGGAAAGATGGAACTAGAATCGGTTTGGCTGGCAGCCGAGTTCCTGAGCCCTTTCCTAGTAGTTTCCTTCTCCTCCTTTAATGTATCCATCCAAAGTCAAAGCTCAGGAGTAGATGCATTTGATTTCCCTACATCCCAGCATCAGGCAAGAACCTAGGGTGCTGACTGGGCTTAGAGTGGCAGTTGGCTCAGCCGAATCAAGCAGAGTGTTCGTAAAGCCCCAGCAATGGCTCTCATCTTCTTTAGCTTCTAAGGTTCCCACAACCAGCACACCTCACAGCTCTGGCCTGCTGCTTCAAAATGGTGCGCCCCATCTCAAAAATCAACTCCTACTCTTTAAATTAAAAGAAAGTACTGGAGCACTCACCTCCTATAATACTGTCTCTATTTGTAAAAAATGACAAGGACATCCTCTCTTCAAGTGAAAGTGAGCATTGTCCACACTCTAGGCCAGTAATGGCGAGCCTATGACACGCGTGTCAGAGGTGACACGCGAACTCATTTTTTTGGTTGATTTTTCTTTGTTAAATGGCATTTAAATATATAAAATAAATATCAAAAATATGTCGTTGTTTTACTATGGTTGCAAATATCAAAAAATTTTCTATATGTGACACGGCACCAGAGTTAAGTTAGGGTTTTTCAAAATGCTGACACGCCGAGCTCAAAAGGTTCGCCATCACTGCTCTAGGCAAATAAGGTAATGCTTCTATAGGGTGGCTGTGGGGAAAAGATGAGAGAATGGGCTTTGGAAGCTTAGTATTAGATGTGAATCTTCCTTACTGGCTCTAAGTGTCTCTGAGACTTCAAGCAACATATGAAAACTCTCTGCATCTCAGCCTCAGCCTCAGCCTCAGCCTCAGCCTCGGTGTACTGGAGAAGTGAGGCGCAGGTCATGGCATGGCCCTGAGGACCAAATGAAAACAAAGTACACAAAGCATTCAGAAAGCCTCCTGGCACAAAGGTGGTGGCCCAGAATGTTATTTATTATTATCATGTTGCTTTTAGAGACTCACTGTCATGTGAGAAACTTTAGTTGAAAAGTTAAACATGCCCTTTTCATTCATCTACACACATTCGTTTCCAAGGGCTCCATTAAAAAGTCACTTCAGGAGGAAGGGTTTTATTTGGAAAGATTTTCTTCTGGAGAAAGAAATTTACAGCCACTCATGTCCTCCTCATGTATCCATGTTATCTCCTGTCTTCCATAACCCGTCTCCTCTGGTCGGCTTTTCTGCCATTTTTGTTACTGGCCTTCATTGCTTCATTTTCATGTTATGCCATTTTCAAATCGATACAAGCCATAGCTCCGTCCTATCACTGTGTAACATTCAGAGTATCTGATCTCAACCAATCCCAGCAGCAATATTCAGCTGGGATGGAGCTTGTCATCAAAGGGCTTAAATGAAAGAAACACTTGCCTAATCTGGAATCAAACTTCTAGTCACTGATTATAGTCAATTCTTGTTATTTGCTGGGGTGATGTTCTAGAACACCAAAGAGCAAATACTAAACTGTTGTTCCTAGAGGAAGTACAGGGTTAGGTTCCTTTGAGCCTCTGGTCACATTTTCATCAACCAATTAATATATAACCTTGTTTTATGTGTTTCTGTTTAAAGATACCTTGCTAGATATATATTGCTGATTCATTATTATTGAACTCATGGCCAACAACACTATAGAACAAAGTTTATCTAACACACATATATTCCCCATAAGGTACAACCCAGCCTTCTTGTGCTTGAGATCACTACACAGCATTTTATCACTATGTTTGGGGGCCATTTTAAATGGCAAAATACCAACAAAAAGCAAAACAAACAAACCAACCCCAAACCATGGCACTTAATAGATGGCAAAAAGGACACGTGTTTACAACATGAGAGCTGGAACAAGAAGGCAGAGCCTCACCTGCCACATCAGCTGGGCAAGTGCACATCAGGTGGCGCACATTTCCTGCCGCTCTAAGGCCATCCACAAGTGATCATGAAAAGTGCCACAGGTCTTGAGTTGGGGGTTGCAAACAAAGGTTAGCAAGTAGGCGAATTTGCAAACAAAATCTGCAAATAATGAGGATTGGCTGTCTAACATTAGAAATCCTAAATCATTGGTTATATCTAATTAAAATAAGATTTCTCCCAAAATGCAATGGGATTACTATTTGGGTAGGCTTTTTCTCTCATGTTCTGACTGTTCTTTAAAACATTGACCTGTCTTTTTGTTTTCATCCGTTGGCTCATTTTCCTCATTGCATCCATTTTTTATCTCATAAGGTACGATGAAGAGAAATCTCATAAGAGAAGTGTGAGGTAAAAATCTCTTGATCTACAAGTCATGCTGGACCCTCTGTGTGTGTGCACCATTGTCTTATTCGTGGGTGACCTCAACATGCTACCAGAGCCCTTGCACCAGTCCCTTGTGTATACCATTCTCGGTCTTTGTCTTGTGTGTAAAGCTGTTGAGGTCAACCTAATTTGCAACTGAAACCTACTAAACAGATACATCCCTGACGTGGCCCAAGCTGCAAGCTAACTTTAATTACCCAACAGGCTGATGTGGATGTTTTCAGCTTTTTTCAGCCAGCATGTTTCCGATCTCCTTGCAACTTTCATATTCACCATTATGAAGGATTTTGCAAAGTAAACACTGAATGGGAGGAAATGACTCCATATTTAATTGAAGGATTGTCTCTCAGGGCTCCACAGGATGGTTTTTGAAAGCTAATCCGCTCCACTTACGTTTGGCTCTGCTTTGCTGGGTGACTGTCTCACGCTCTGCTTGCTTTTTTTCTTTGTTTTGTTTTCTACATTGATGCTTTTTGCTCATGCAGACTGGATGAAGAACTGAGGGAAGCATCAGAAGCAACTAAGTAAGACTTGGTTTTCATTCAGCAGCTGGCGTGGTGTTGGCTTGCATTTCAGGAATGAGTTGGGAGAGCCTGCATGCCGGGTGTTGTATTTTTTGCATCCTGATAATAACGCTGCTATTTAGAAGTTCCCTTTGTCTGTGATAGACACAGTTACAGTTATTTGTCCTATAGCCTATTTCCCCAGAATCTTGGGTTATCTTGAAGAACGTATTTGTTACTGTTGTTTATTTTTTTTAAATGCACATGCAATTTTATGCACCACAGGTACACACACACACACACACACACACACACACACACACACACACTATAATAATAAAAGCGTCATATGCTAATTAGACCAGACGTCCTTCCGGACGACCTTCCGGACAAAGCTGGGACTGTGAGGGAAGCCCGGGTCCCAGGTGCCAGAGAGAAGCCAGTGCCAGCAGGCCTACTCTTGCACGAATTTTGTGCATTGGGCCTCTAGTATATATATAACACATATACTATAACGATCATCTGGATGTTATATTGGGGCAACAAAACCTTACTAATGGAGAGAAATGATACAAGTGGAAATTATTTTTGTAGAACCAATTTAATGACTTTCCAATACTATTTTTCAACACCTTATTTAGTGACTTGGAAATATTGCTTAATCAACAGCTTTTGAGCTGTTTGGCTAAACAGAAAAAAAAACACCATTGCTCACTATTGTTAAAGTATAATTTTCAAAAAGGCAAAATCATAACTTTAATGCAAATATAAAATGAATTCATGCCAGTGATTTTATTTAACTAATTACTTAATGAAGGAACCAGTAAGGTGTTAAAACCAGTTCAAAGAGCATTTCTGAAGCTAGAGATCAATAGGCAATTTATGAAGGAATGTTAGGATAAGATTGTTGGTTTAGGTACAAAACTGATTAATGTTCAGCAGGGCAATAAACAACCTTAGGGTTATCTTTTACTAGAATGCTGGACAAACATTATTTGCATCTCTGCTCAACAAAAATCTAAAAGTGAACCTCTGGTCCTAAGAGTTGTAAAATAGTCCTTCAGTCCACTCAGCGCTGCTTTGAAAGAATATCCAGTAATTTCCTTTTTTTTATTTCCAAATTACAAGTAATTTTTCTGACACTATATGTTAAATGGAGACAAGTACTATTTGGCATGTTTGCTGTATTTCTCTATTTCAAATGTTGCTTACACTGTTAATTTTTATGACCAGCTCCCATTTTAACAGACATTGCAAATGCAGGAAATCTGGACAATGTGCAAACAGCTACAAATTCTGTATAAATAAGATCTTAATTAGTGGCATTTTTCTGCAGAGATGTAAATGGCAATTCCTCATGAAAACAATCCATTTAGATTTTTTTTCCTATGGCCCATTTTTATTGCACGTAATCTTTAGGATTATTTCCCTCTAGTGTGAATCTTTTGGGTTAAAAATTCAAGGAAAGTTTTTTGCTTTAGAAAGTTTAGCATTAGGGTAGTTTACTGGTACAATATTTCTATCCTCTAGTTTTCTTTTAACATAACTAACACCCAGTTAGACTAACAATACTCAAAATTATGTAAATTTTTACTCTAACAAATTCTTCTTAGGCTCTAACTCAACTATTGAAAACAAGAAGTTGTGGAGGGAAGATATTAGAAATCAAGGAACCAAATATTGGTGTAATGTAAAGCATTCATTGGTACTCAAATTGCACTGTGACATGAGATTCCCCAGAGAGAGAAACAGTAATGAGTTTCTCGTTAAGATTCTTTTTAAAAAATATATATTTTTATTGATTTCAGTGAGGAAGGGAGAGGGAGAGAGAGATAGAAACATCAATGTTGAGTAGAATCATTGATCACCTGCCTCCTACACACCCTCCACTGGGGATTGAGCCCGAAACCCAGGCATGTGCCCTGACCAGGAATTAAACCATGACCTCCTGGTTCATAGGTCAACAGTCAACACTGAGCCACACTGGTCGGGCTAAGATTCTTTTTTTTTTTAAGGATAACATATTTATGAAATTAGAAAGTTTTTTCCAAGACAAAAAATGGGGGCCCTAACCGGTTTGGCTCAGCAGATAGAATGTCGGCCTGCGGACTCAAGGGTTCCAGGTTCGATTCTGGTCAAGGGCATGTACCTTGGTTGCGGGCACATACCCAGTGGGGAGTGTGCAGGAGGCAGCTGATCGATGTTTCTCTCTCACCGATGTTTCTAACTCTCTATCCCTCTCCCTTCCTCTCTGTAAAAAATCAATAAAATATATTTAAAACAAAAACAAAAAAATGGGGGGAACTGACATCAATGATTTTCCAGCCAAACCCATTAGAAAGTCAGATTGCCATGTTTTTTCATTAGTACCATATAATCTTGCCTCTTTCAGTAGACTTCCCCCCCCCCCATCCATATTTTTACTCTTCCTGCATAGCTACCATTGAGAAACAGTTATCATATTTGGTTCAGTTGGGTAGCTTTCTTTTTTTCTCTCAACCCCTTCCTTTTGTTCTCTTTCCTGTGCCCACCCCCTGGTCTCCCCAGGTTTCTAAATAGTCTCAGGTCATGCTGAGATGTCTTGATCTCCTTCCTAAAAGAAGCACCAAGCTCATCCCCAGTACATAGTAGATGCTCAGTAAATTTTTGCTGCATAAATTGATGAATATGCATAAGATTAAGATTGTTGCTGTGGAGCAGTATTATTGTGCCTCAGAATAACCTGAAGCACTTGCTAAAACACTGCATCCTGGGCCTCCCAGCAAAGTTTCCAATTTAGCAGGCCCAAGAGCCTGTATTTCTAATAGTTCCCATTGATGCTGGTCTCAGGACCTTGCTTTGAGAATCACCACCTTAAAGTAATTGGCCACATAAATATAATTAGATTTGTCTTAGGGGGCTCTATGCTCTGACTTTGGAATCAGTGGCTAAGCCACCTATCTGAATTTTCCTCCAATTGACCCTCCTTCTTTTGATGGTGACATTACATGTTATGAGAAATTGAAATATATTTGCACATTTGAAAATGTGCAAGGAGAAAGAATTTTACTGTTGATCCCACCAATGATTGAAATGCCTCTGTATCCTACCGTTCTGTCAAACCAACTACATCTTCTCAACAACTTTTCAGCCTCTAAGGTGACCCCCAGATCCTTGGACAGACTGTGCATGATGATTTGGGGTTCAACAAACACAGTCACTGCAGATCTGTGGTGAGCCTGTAGAAGCCAGATATCCCAGGTTCTTTCTATTAACAGACAAATGCACCATGGCTTTCTACGTGACCTTTATTAGAAAGCTGCATAAAGGCAAGCATATACCCTGCCAGGGAACAAAACCTACCTGTCTATTGTTTTGCTTTACTCCCACCTGTGTTTTCAAACATTCATTCTCTCTCCACATACACACACCGCCACCAGCACCTCTCACTGCCTTTCAGAAGGTGATTTCTTCAGCCTGCCTTATTTTTTTTTAAACTTTACATCTATACAGAAAAAAAATACTTTTGAAAGTTACATTGTATATAGAGAGCCATTCTTAGATTGAAAATGGTGCAAAATCCACCTGCTGCCTTTAGAGTGACAATATCTACTGGATGGCAAATTCCTGTTTTCTTTGGAAGAAGTATGCGAAGTTAAAAACCAGAAAAGCTAGCTTTGGAAGATTGCCCTTCCTTGATTCCAGTCCAGCTTTGCTAGGTTTTTCTAGCACACTGTCAACACTTGCCTGACTGTCCTTGTTCACTAGAGTTGCTAAATATACTCCATGCAAATACCAGATCATCAGAGAGAAGGGTGGGGAGACGGGGGGGCGGGGAAGCCCTCTGCCCTTCCCAGAGAGAGATAGCCTTCGGGCTTTAACATTGATAACCATGCCTCTTATTTGCAAATAGATATATAAATTTGTGAAATTATTCACAGTATAAAAGGAATTCTCACATGTAAAAAAGATCACAGAATCCCTGTAACTAGTGTTTGTTTGCCAACAATAAAAGAGTTAACAGAGGAGAAAAAGTAAAAATTTTCATCGGAAATTAATAGAAAGCAAATCTAAAATTTGCTAACAGAGGAATTGCACCAATATGAAATATCAAAAGCAGCTAATATTACACCAAAAAAGCATAAACACATTCATACACCCTAACACAACTTTTATTTCATGATTTCATAGGGTTACATTTTTCTTTCTGGACATATTCAGTTCTGGTTATTGTTGGGATTCACTTGTCTTACCTGAACACAGCTCAGCTGTATGGTAGCAAGTGTCCTATTATTTTCCTGAAACAAGGACAAGGAAAGCTGACACTAGCATTTTTCCTTTTAGTGTCTTGGAAAATCCTCATTCTTTTGAAAATAGAAAGTTAAGTGTTATATGTAAGTGAAATTAAGCTGCTTGAGAGGGATTGTTCTTTGTATATAAAACATTATACTATTTGGATTATAAATAAAAATTTGCAATATGTTCCCGGAATAAGCTAGATTGGAAAAATCAGGAGGGAAAATGACAAGGTCAGAAGAGCCCACTTGGAGGTGTTTGGAGTTTTCAATCCTCTTTATATATTTCTCAATGATGGGCAATTACTATATTTCGAAACTAACAGTAAAAGAATCACAGCTTAATTGCATCATTGCAGGTGTAGATATGCTTAATATTGGCAATGGGACAACATTAAGCAGTTTAAAATGCCCAAGTCTTTTGTGCTTGCAAAGTGTAACAGTGGAGAAAATGTTTACTGCTTCCTGTTTTTTCCTTGCACTCAGAACTAGCTGCCTTTACAATGATCCAGAACTGTCTTCTATGGAGAAGGAGTAAGAATTCATCGTCAGTAACAGCTCTGTGGTTACTTGCAGTATTGTATGGCTGGGCTCTGAAAGAAACATATATTGAGGACTGGGTAAACCTCGTTCAGATGTTCAGCGTTCATGTTCTCCACTCCTGAAATTAGAAACTGAAAATGGACTGGGCCATCTTAACACCGTCTCATTGGTCACCATTATATTCCTTATAGACAGCCGACGTTTAGACGTAGCATCCTATTTTTCCAATGCACACATTGGGAGAAAATGAATTTAGAGCTAAATGTAAGGACATTTGGGTGAGAGGAATGCAAGTCTGCTTTCTGAATTAACATCACCTATTTTAACTAGTGAAAGTTGGGACTTCCATTTGAACTTAATATTTTGATGCATGGGAGAGAACTTTTTGTTTGTTTCGAAAATTCCAAGAGGCAGTTGAGTCTGGATGGGGCTGGAGGAATGATCTAGTTCATCTAGTCCTGTCCTGTGAGAGATAGAAATCAAACCCGTAGTGAGTTCTTACCACATGTCAGGCTCTATAAAAAGCTTCACACACATTAGCTGATTTTTATCCTCAGAATAAGCCTATGAGGTACATTTTATATGTAAGGAAAGAGCAGCCGAGGGAGATTGTCTGACCAGCCCAGTGTTTTACAGTCGTAAAGTGGCCCAGAGCCGGGACTGGAATCTGCAGTGCAGTTCCAGTGACGGTGGTTTTGAAATCCAAGGGAAGTGGTCTTCATGCTGGAATGGGTGTGCAACCTCCGACCTAACCAAAGACTAGCGAGGACAAAATTAGGCGCCTAAGAAAACAGTTCATTATTGGCCTCGTCCGTTTCAGGGAATGAACTGTGGTCACCAACATGCTCTCAGAGGGAACCTGGCCACCCAGTTAGGGGCTCCTAACCTGTTTTGAGTTGTGGAGAATTTTAAATTGCCCTTCTTCCCCCCAATCCGGAAGGAGGGGCAAACATCAGATTTAAATGTCTTAGCTATTGTCACGTTTTGTTTTCTTTGGGTCTCCTTTCCCTCGCGGTCACAAGGGAAGTTATAGAATCACAGTGCAATATTTCTCCAGTTGCCATGGTGATCTTACAGTTTAAGGAAGTTTATGCACACAAAAATCCATAGAAAAGGTCCCAGCTGAAAAGCACCCAAGAACAAAGGCTGTCAAGGGACCTTTGAAATCACACAACTATTTTTTTGAAGTTTACATTGTCCCACACCTTTGAGATGATGACAGTTGCTTCAAGCTAATTGCCACACAGAAATTCTGCAAAGAAAAATACCTGTCCCTTGGCCCACCAGAATTCTTTTTGCAAATCTGACCTTTCTCTGCAAAACAGCGCCCCCTAGAGCAGAGTCCTGCAACCGCAGTTAATGAGCTGTGTGGACAGAATGTCACTCTCTGGCCTATGGCTGCTACATCTGCGGGCATACCCACTCCTTTGTCTACCTGGTCTGTTTTGTTCCTCATTTGTTTATAGTCCCTTTTGGGTTGGAGAGAGAGCAAAGCACTGCTTCTTGTTTGGGTTTGTTCCAGGGCTGGACATGGGAGAGGAAGGGATGCTGCAAATTACTAATGTTCTTCCTGCTTCTCAGAACCATTCTCCATGCTTCAGCCCTCTCTTGCCAAGCCCTTGGGAGGCACGTGGTCCTGGTGCAGACTGAGATCCGGGATGAGGGGCAAGAGTGGCTAAGAATTCTCCCTACTGACTTCCAGCCCTGGATTTCTGGCTTTCTTCTGTGTTAGAATAAGGGGCTTCGTTTTCCTTCTGGTTCCTGTGGGGAAGCATTTTACACCTTCTAGTACTGAATGGGTAAACTGCAAAATGGGCAAAGGCTCTTCCAAGGAACTCAGTCAGGCTGTGGATAAGATGAAGTGTGTCCTGATGCTGTAGTGGCCTCTCATTTCCCACAGAGCGAGAAGGGAGGCTATGCCTGTCTTCCCCCTCTTTCTACCTAAACACAGTGTTTTTATCTATTATTAAGCACTATTGTTAGACACGTTGTAAGCGGCTTCATTTAACACGTTAGAAATAAAATGGCCTACAGGAAAATTGTCAGAAGGTTGCTAGTCTCACTGGAAAATTATAGAAAACTAAGCCCATTTGCCAAACGTGAGGAATATTCCTTTCATATTTCAATGCTGATTAAAAGTACGTGGGTTTTCTTTGTTGTTATTTTTTGTTGTTTTGTTTTGTTTTCTAGAAAGCATACCATTTCTCAAAGTAGCCCAAGGTGCTTGCCTCCCTCACTTTTAGGTTTGGAAATTATTTATTCAGATGTGTCCTAAAACTTGCAACATGCCTTTTTATATTTTTACATTTTAAAAAAGCGTACATGATCCAGGGGATGTGCTTCTATTTGGGGAGACTTAAATTAGTAGCATTGTTGGTAGCTTGATTAGATCTACAAGATAACTGTTGTCTCAAAAAATCTTCAGTGTGGTTTTCTGTATTTACTTAAAAATCGTTCACTTTTGACTGTCTCTTGCTTCTTCCATAAACTGGGGAAATAGGTTTCATTGGGTTCTGTTTGTTTGTTTACCCAAAGCTGAAGGGATAAATTAAACCCTAGAAGGTTTACAAAAAAGTCAGTATGAAAAATGAGGTGTTTAAAAATGTGCATCATAGCATACGTGGGTTGTTTTTTATTGTTTGTTTGTTTTTTAAGATTTTATCAGGGGTCTAGAGGGTTAAAAAAAAGTGACTGTGCACTTTAAACTTTCCAAGATGACTTCAAACATTCTGACCTACATTCACACTTTTCAGACAGTGTGCCCCAAATGTTGGTTTAATATATATTCTCTTGGTCTGTGAGAGAAACTGAATCATCAACATGGAAGAAAGAATAAAATCCCAATCATCAAATCAAACTTACTGCAGACTTCTGGTAATAACTGCAGCTGGGAAGTAGAATTGAAAACAAGATCAAGAAGGACCTGTTTTGTAAAGGCATGCTAGAAAAAGATCTAGGGGTCATAGTGGATAACAGGAGAACTCCATGGTAAAACTCTGCAGATAAGAAAACAAGTCAGATCCTTGAAGGCATAAAAAAGAGATTACTATCCATGGTGACCTGACCTGTCCTGGCAGTTAACATGTCTGGGTCCGAAAACTCCCCAAGGAGACAAGATTATTATAAGTAGAGTAATTATGCAAACATGATTTTCCCATTTCAAAGACACCAAGCTACTACTACTAATCTATACTAGTACTACTAATAGACATTTACTATGTGTTCACTGTGTACAGTTGAAAACACTTTAGACTTAATCAAGCTGTGAGAGATGATTGTTCTATTTTACAGATACAGAAATGGAAGCTTAGAGAAGGTAGGTAACTTGGCCAAGGCCCTAGAACTAATAAGGGGTAGAACTGCTGAGGGTATTTCAAAGGAAAGATTCTTCACTACCTTAAGCTGGATGAGCAGGCAGTGCGGATCACCAATGGCTTTATTTGCAAAGCTGCCACAGGAGCACTGCTCAGCGGCTGCAAATTCCACAAGCAGAGTAACCCTTGCACTTCTGCCTCAGGAGGGCGGATCTAAGTGAAATCTGCAGATATTTCCCAATGGCCCTTTTCAGCAAATGAATTTTTTTCTTTTTTCATGGCTGAAATTCCTCCTCTGCGTGTTCACTGAGTATAGCTCTCTTCTCTGGTAGATATCAGAAAGTCATGATACGTTTGTTACAGAATTTACCAGGCCACCAAAAAATATACAGGAGTACTCCAAGATACAGGAAAAAAACCATTTATTTCCAGATGTACTCGTACAGTGACTCAGGAGAGCCTGTTTCCAAATCCTGAGCAAACCAACATGGAGGAAGCTTTCTCTTTATACCCTTTGGTTTCTTTGTCCCCAAATAAGGATCAGACTTCCGGACCTTTCCCGAGCTTTGCAAAAAGCCCTGTGTATTGGGGTGGGGGCCATGAGACCACACCTAAAGGCCTGGCCTGGTGCCGTTGCTGATAACCCCCTCCGGGGGTTGTGTATGGTTCATGATTTATGGCCTCTATAAAATGTGAGTATTTAGGTAAACAGGTCTTGCAAGACCAGATAATTAAGGAAGGAGCAGTGACCAGTGATGAGCTCGGCATGTCAGCATTTTGAAAAACCCTAACTTAACTCTGGTGCCGTGTCACATGTAGAAATTTTTTGATATTTGCAACCATAGTAAAACAAAGACATATTTTTGATATTTATTTTATATATTTAAATGCCATTTGACAAAGAAAAATCAACCAAAAAAATGAGTTCGCGTGTCACCTCTGACACGCGTGTCATAGGTTCACCATCGCTGGACTAGACTATAGGCTAATGGGAATATGCATTAGGGATACTGATTAACTAGGTACAGAGTCAGACTACTGGTCTCCCCCCAAAAAATGTCTTATTTTCCTCATCATGTTCACTCAGAGGCAAAAGAGAGACACAGTGGCCCGAGGACATTTTAGACTTATTCTCTAGATATTTGGGAACTCACTAGACATTCTTAAAAACAAGCTTATCTTAGGTTATAAGAATCCATCTCATTATAGTAGGCTAACCCCTTTCAGGCAAATCCTTTGGCACTAGGAAATGTTGGGGTTGGGTGTTTGTTTTTTATTTGCCATTGCTGTTTCATTGTTTGTACTTTCTGACTATCACTCATCACATATTACTTATTTCAGGCAGATCATTTATTTGCCCCACAAGGAACAATCATTTACTAAAAATCGGTAGATCCCTTATTTCCAAAACGCAATAACATTCTTCATAGTAATCAATTTAAGGAACAAGGCTTAACACGGGTCTTTTGCCTCCTTCAATCACTTCAAAAGGTGTAAAATGCTTCCAGAAACAGTTTTGTAAAAATAAACAGGTTCCATCCTTTGTTTTACCAAATTTTTCAGTGTAAAAAACTTGCATGATGTGTTTTCAGTAAGTCCTTTGAGAAAAAAGAAGCAAACACATGCCACCCTCAATCATTGCTGACTGTTTCTCACTCCGTTTCTCATTTTTTTCTTCCTTTTTTTCAAGTCTTGACCTGAAGTTAAAAGAGAAGCCCTAGTTGGCCATGGCAGGAAGAAGAGGATGCCTTTCTGCTTCGTGGTTCTGTTGAGACTTATCTACCTGGAAGAGACAGGGCTGATGGTACTTTTTTCCCCTTTGCACTACCTGGTGCCATTCTAAGTTTCTAAGGGGAAAAACAGTAAGGGAATTTGTTTACTCTTAACATGTTTTATGAAATTGTGTGTATTTTCCTATTTTGCCAATTATGTGCCTCAAACATTTTAGTTGAACCTTAGCAAGAAAGTAGGACCTTCCATTTTCATATTTTGTTTACCCGTGGTGCAGTGGTATTTCATCTCTTAGACTGGTATTGACTAATAAGGTAACTTCAATTCACTGTTAATTATAAGTGGATTTGCTTCCATAGATTAGCTCCGTGGTGATTGTTTTAGGTTTAAAATACACTGGGCTCAACTCTCCCTGGAAATGTTGTCCCCACGTAAGTCCACTTTTAAAGTCCTAAACCTGTTTAACACAGCCAGAAACCAGAAATGAGTGAAACCACCCTCAACTAAGTACCTATTCGCTTGGTTCTTGTCCACATGAATGAATTGTCTCTAACTTCTCAATGGGAAGCCAGGCTTTCTAGTTCACATCAATTTTATTTTAGTGATCAAATTGGGCATCATGTTTCCTGTGAATTTGTTTTTTAAAAAAAGCATTTCTCCAGTAAATGTTGAAGACTTCTGTATTGAGAAACTCAAGGATCATTGTCCACATTTTTGGTGACTGTCTGTGCTTCAGGTCATAAACTTAATTCAAGATGTTCTACTTTAAGTGCCAAGGACTTGAGGGTAAGCTGGCCCACTTAGAAATTCATTGTTTGGTACCATTCAGTTATCTGAATTTCTCTCATACCTTATAAAAAGTAATCTGCTTTGAAACACTGTAATCTGATCACAGGTTTAAAAATTAAATATGAGTATGTACTATCATTTGCAAAATATTCTTTTATAATTTTTATATGTCCTTTAAAATACCAATGTGATTTTGAATCTATGGGCCTCTTGCAGAAGATGACTACCTCCCAATGTAGCCATCGCCTGTTTTCACCTGGCTTTCTAGTTAAGACTGGTTTTCACGTTTTCGTTTGAAAACATTTTCTTACTATTTTTATGACACTTGAAAATTATTCAACTTTCAGTGTTCATGCATAATGTTTTACTGAAACACGGCCACACAGATTTATTTATGAGCTCTCTGCAGCTACACTCATACTGTAACAGCAGAGTTGAGTAGTTGCAATGGACCCTGTAGCCTACAAAGCCCAAAACATTTACAATCTTTACAGAAAAGTTTACTGAGCCCTGCTCCAGCACATACATCCTTTGCCCCGCCCCCCCCCCATTTGTATGTAGATATTTGTTTCTCTAACAGAATGCACAAGGAAGACTTCAAATGAACTTATTCTTAAAAAATAAAGTTTGGCAGAAAAATACATGGCCAGCTGAAAAAGGTGTGTTTACATGCCCCTCAGTGAAGCCTGCTGAGAAGGTTTTGGGCTGTTTGCAGGTGTTGCTGAGGTCCTGGTCTCACTCTGGGAACTATTCTTAGTCTCCAGCATCACCTATTACTAATTAGCTAGCAAAAATAAACATGAAGTGGAGAATGGAGTTCCTCCATAATCTTAAGGTGGAAACTACATCCAGGAGAGCTGTCCATGACACTCTGAGCCCTGGGTATCATAAGCTTTGAAATGCTGTGAAGTGGACTTTGCACAGGTGACTGAATTTCACTGATGTCATTTGCTTCATGTTGGTGTCCCTTCCAGATATGTTCTCATACCTCCATAAGCCATAGTTATGTGCTCCCCTCTGGGTTTCTCTCAGCTGAGTATCTTATTGAACTGTGCTCTTTGGGGTCTTCTCCCTCATCACATCGGCTTGTCTTATAGAAAAACCCTAGAGCATGCCTTCTCTCACAGCCCAGAGCCACCTTTGGAAGCCCAAAGTATGCCTCTCCCAGAACTTAGTGTTGACATAAGTACGGTGACCCAATATTCCGGTTTGTCCGCCCACTTACCATTGTTTCCCTGGCATAATTATTAATGATGCTTCCTTTTGCTCAGTTATGTCCCATTTTGGAAGATGAATTACATGGTCCCCCTAGCCACAGGGAGTAATGAAGAATCCAGTGTTCAGCTTAATGGTGAAGCCTGCGGACATAGAGTTGTTGATAGAGGGCTTTTGTTATATTCAGCCAGATGTGGCAACAATCTCACCATTCACATTTTCTTTGAACTGGTCCAGCCTTCTCATGGAAGACTACTCAGGTGGCATTCTGTTTGAAGTTTAACCTTCCTACACGGAAATTACAAGCATATTTTCCAATCAGTGATTTTATTTGGGCTGTTCTACGGGCTGTATAACCATCCTGATAGTTAAGCATTTGCTACTTTATTATCTTAGAAAGACAAATTAATTTCATTGCATGTGCTAGAGAAAAGCCACCATGTAAATTCAATCCAAATAAATAGAATCCTAGAAGAATCCTGAAGGATTAATCCCTAAAGCAGATAGGTATGCAGATGTAAACATTCACATCATTAGCTATCTAGATCTTGCATTCTGAGCATTCTTGCTTTGGTTCTGACTTCTGGGAACTGTTTTGCACTGTTCTGCAGATTTGTAGTTAAGGGAACCAAGGGGCAAAAATATTTACTTCCCAACGTGGCAACTGCTCTTTGCTTAGTTCCTTGATTAAGAGAAAGAACAAAAATTCTCCCCCAGAAGATACTGTCAAGGAGTGAAGGCAATAGCTGGGTGTAGAAGAAAACTCTGAAGTTCCTATTGAAGCCATACAATGGTTTATGGGGTTATCTTTTAAGACATACTCCAAAATGCGTGAGGAAGTCACTACTCCAAGCCTTTGTGTTATTAAGATCCATTTTAAGTATTCATTCATGGTACTGTGTTTTCAGCGCTCATCTGAATCACAATGCCTCCGTAGTTTGCTCCCTTAAACACATTTATGTGTGCACAAATTAATATTTTATATATTTAAAAGGTTTTCTACCATGTATTGGATTGCTCAGAGTAAAGTATATATTAGACTTTGTTTAGATAAATAATTAAATAAATTATCCTTAAATAGTATGAATTAATAATATAAAGATATGTAACAACACTATATATTTAGAGAGAGACTCTCTGTATAACTGAGAAATAAAAATTGATATCACAAGTTATGGCTCTCTTTCTTTGAAAAGGTGAGAATCTTCCTCTAACCTCACTGTGGGCAGCTTTATCCGGTTATCACTCCAGCTTGGCACTTGGTATTGAGGATAGTATAAGTTTTGGCTTTGTTGTTATCTAAATTTTATTCTTTTCACTTTTGCCTTCTATACGTCAGTGATAGAAGCTTCCAAAATGTGTGTTTATCCTCTGGGTGAGCCACGTCTCACGTTGGAAATGTCTCTATGTTACATGTCACTTTCTTTTTCTGTCCCTTGCCTTTTAATGTCATATATTTATTTTAAATTAAAATGCATTAAGTAGCTTTTTAAAAAAATTTTAGAACCTTAAGGCAAAACCAGAGTTGGAAATTACCACTGCGGTGTGTTTTTTAAATTAATAAATCAATCTGTACAGCTGCTTTGCAGAAAATTAGAGTAACCAAATCAGAAGTGGCTCTACAGCTCTGGCCGGTTTGGCTCAGTGGATAGAGCATCGGCTTGCAGACCAAAGGGTCCCAGGTTCAATTCTGGTCAAGGGCATGTACCTCGGTTGCAGGCTCCTCCGTGGCTCAGGCCCTAGTCGGGCTCGTGCAGGAGGCAACCAATCAATGTGTTTCTCTCTCATCAATGTTTCTCTCTCCAGTGGAGCCCAGCTGGCATGGCTCAGTGGTTGAGAGTCGACCCATGAACCAGGAGGTCATGGTTTGATTCCTGGTCAGGGCACATGCCTGGATTGTGGGCTTGGTCCCCAGTAGGGGTTGTGCAGGAGACAGTCTATCAATGATTCTCTCTCTCTCCCTTTCTCTGTGAAATCAATAAAATATCTTTTTTAACTTTTTAAAAAAATAAAAATCAATGAGGGTGAGGATTAACAAAAAGAGTGAAACATTGCACATTCTTGTGATCTAGGAATGAGTTCTGGTGGATATTATCCTCTACTCAATGAAGGGAAGACAGACAAGAGAAGTAATTACAGGAGAATGAAGGGCCTGGTAGTACAAGGTAAACTGCTGCATTGTTCTGCTCCCTTTATGTCACTGTGGGAGTGGGAATTGGAGGCAGGCTGAGTGCCCAGCACTAGGGGAAAGGATGGGTGAGATGTGGTGGGTACACATTATGGCATATTACGCAGCTCTTAGGAACAACAAACTATGCATTCATAGAGCAACACTTAAATCATAGGGCAGAGTGGAAAAAGTAAGAAAGAACTCAATATTTATAGCGTAGTGCCATTTATGTAGCTGCTCATTCTACACACACACACACACACACACACACACACACACAGTACTATATATTATCCAAACCCATGCATATTTAAGGACTTAGCACACTCATTAGAGTGAGTGCAGGGAGTAAGGGTAGGAGTGAGCATCCAAGATGAAGTTTGGAGATAAAAATAAATAAATAAACATTTTATGGGCTGAAGTTAAAAGTAACTAAAATGAAGATACCTTAAACTTTCAACTATAGGTGCCAGAACTTTTCAGCCATCTATTATGAAAAAAGCCGTGTTAGGGCACTTTGGGTCCTCAGGAGGCTATTCCCCTCCCAGCTTCTCCTGTGGCTGTACCATTTCCCTGGGTTGGCAGCGTCCACGTGCTGCAGCTGCCAGAAGCTCGCCTTGGGTTACATCACCCTGTTTGGTTATGGGGCTTTTAATTAAGCTGGTGCCTTTTGACACATCAGTCGTCACACAGCTGTGGGCTGTATAGAGCAAAGAGATTGCTTTGTGAGGCCAATTTTCCTAGAGTTTCACATTCACCTAAAATAACTCTCTTTAGCCTTGAAAAATTATCGATTTTCAATATATAACCATTTTAATGATACTTAGATAATGGATGCTAATGAATAACTGATCCACTACCTCTCTAACCTTACCCCTAGCGAGAGACCTGCAACCGTGATACTTGATCATGTCACAAACACTTTTCCTCCTTAGATTTGTGGAATTACTGTTGCCCCCGTATTTTCTGTCTGTTGTATTGCTATGTAACAAATGACAGCCGATTCTCATTATTCGGGGTAGTTATGTCCTATAAAGCCACAAAGATCTCTGAGGGTAGTTATGTCCTATAAAGCCACAAAGATCTCTGAATGAGCAAATATTGAACCATTGCTCCTAGGAGAAATGCAGGGTTAGGTTCCTGCCAGCCTCTGGTCACATCATTTCCATGCACTGATCAATACATAACCCTGTTTATCTGTGCTTCCATTTAAAGACACCTTATTGAATATATATGGTTGATTCATTAACAATGAAATCACAGCCAACCTGTGCCTGAAAGAAGCTCATCTGATACATAATTTTCTCCATAAGGCACATCACAGCCTTCTTGTGCTTAGGAACACTAGAGAGCACTTCTGCTCTATGCTTGGAGACCATTTTAAACAATGAAATCACCAACAAAAATTTAAAAACAAACATGGCACTAAATGGACCATGAAAAGGACACGTTTCTACAATATTAGAGTTGAAACAAGAAGGCACAACCTTGCCTTGTCCCGCCTCATCTGGGAACGTGTGCATCAAGCAACTCAACATTTTCACTGCTCTGTGCATGTCCCTAGTGACCGTGAAGGTGCAGTGCATGTTGATTTGAGGGTTACAAATAAATTTTAGCAGGCAGGCGGATTTGCAAGTATGCAATCTTTGCATAATGGAAATGGACTGCACCCAAAATGCAGTGGTCTCAAGCAACCCACATTTATTCTCCAGTTTCTGTGAATTAGAAATCCAGGTGCATCTCAGTTGGGTCTCCCACCAAAGGTCTCTCACAGGCTGCAAGCACAGTACTGGCCCAGCGTCTCTCACAAGACTCCATCAAGGTTCAACTGGGGCAGAATCGACTTGCAAGTTCATTCACTTGGTGGTTGGCATGATTTCATTTCTCAAAGGGCATTGAACTCCTTTCCTGCTGGCTTTTAGAGGGAGGCCATCCGAGTGCTTTGACTGAGGGGCTCTAATAAGACAGCTTGTTTCATTGAAACCAACCCGTCAGAGTCTGCTAACAAGATGGAAGTTACAGTTTTTTGTAATTTAACCACAGAAGTGGGTTCCTGTCGATTTTGCTGTATTCTTTGGATCAGAAATAAGTCACTAGATCCAGACTCAAGGAGAGAGGATTACACAGAGGTGTAGATACGAGGGGGTGGGGTTCATTGGATGCCATTGTAGACATTGGCCTACCATATCCCCCAACCCTTGGCCAATTCCTGTTTGACTTTCTCTCAACCTACAAGTGATGGCATTTCTCGATGTT